TCAGAGGTGCAACCCGAGATTTGGCGCATGATAGTCGCACAATAATTTAACCATTCTGAAGTGTTGATTGCAAATACGCTGCAGCACCATATGCCTTTTCTGATGCATCTGTAAAGATGTGTAATTGAACCTTGACAGGAACTTCGCCCTTGAAAATATTTTTTTTGTTTGTTTTTTTTTTAAACTTCATTTTATTATATACAATCTATTCTATTCATGAATAATAAGTACTACTTATGGCAATAACAATATATGATTGACATGTACGGGACTACCCAGTGGTAATCACCGCCTTATAAAGAATTACAATTTCTAGAATCTACTCGGCAAATCAGAAGTTGCGAAGCGTATTAATCTACGAATGTTAAAAGTATCCCTCGTTAGGCCTGCGGCAAGGGGGTTATGGTGAACTACCAGTCGTGAGTGATAGTTGCTGCTTATCTGCTGTATTGACTCGACACTGTAGAGATGCCAAGATCATAATGTAGGATGTTATTCGGAATAAATTATGGGGCCACGGCACAGATACGTAATATTTTTGATTGAAACCTCTGAATCATATCTAGATTTGACTTCGCTGCTATACCCCAGATGGGTATACCGTACGTCCAGATTGGCTATAAGACGACCTTGTATAAAAGTATTTTCTTTTGTAGCGATAATTTGGATTTGGGATTAATAGCCAGTAAAGTGAGCGTAGCTTTAGTCCTAACTGCTTCCGTTTTGTAAAGATGTGGTGACGCCAATTTAGACGACGATCAAAATGTACACCTAGATATTTGGCGTTTTCAGCTTGCGGCAATTCACGGCCATTCAGTCTAACGGAAGGACAGGTACCGTGGCGGAGTGTAAAAGTAGTTTGAACTGATTTGTTATCGTTAGCTTCAATGTGCCAAATATCTAGCCATGCGTTAACATCGTTCAGATTACATTGCAAAAGTTGTGAAGCTACTACAGGATCTGCGTGTTTCGTCATCACTACAGTATCATCCGCAAATGTTGCAGTGTATGTTTTAGCACTGAGTGTGAGATCTGCGGTGAACAGAGTATATAGAGTAGGACCCAACACACTTCCTTGGGGAACTCCAGCCTCTATTTGAAAAAGTTCAGTGTGACAGCTATTCATTTTAACCATAAAGTGCCGATCTAGTATGTATGATTTTAAGACAGAGAAGTAGCTATGCGGGAGTTGTAACTTTAATTTGTAGAGAAGTCCAGTGAGCCATACTTTATCGAATGCTTATGTTATGTCGATAAAAGCTGCTGTGCAGTATTCTTTATTTTCCAATGTAAGTCTTGCAAAGTTGTGTACTCTATTTACTTGTTCAATAGTAGAGTGATGCTCTCGAAACTTTTGACAACACAGGAAGTAAGCTGATCGGCTGTAAGATGTTGCAAGTTCGACGGGCTTACCGGGCTTTGGAATTAATATGATTTGGACGACTTTCCATTGAGCTGGGTAGTGTTCACAGGTACAAATTGCATTGAATAATTGTTTTATGAATTTAAAACCCACATCTGGTAGCTCGAGTAGCACCTTTCCGGTAATCAGGTCATATCCTGGAGCTTTTCTGGTTTTAATTTTGTTTTTTATGACCAACTTTAATTCACGAGTCAAAGACCTAGGAATAGGAAAGTCTAATTGATGCGGAGTGTGAAGAAAAGCTTCAACTTCAGAGTCTTTCAGATTATTTTTAAAGCAGCGTGGCTGAAAGACTTTACCAAGGTGCACTGCAAAAGTTTTCGCTTTATCAGCATCAGTTTTAGCCCATTGCCCATTACTCATCTTTGGTGGTATATGTGATGTAGGTCCATTCAGTATGCGTGTGGCTTTCTACAAGGAGTACTCAGTGGCCTCGGAGGGAGACAAGCTAGCTAAGTAAGTTGCAATGCTTGCATTTTTTCTTGCCTCTAGATTTACTTTGACTTTTTTGGTGGCTACATTCAGGCGCCTCTTATCGTTAGGATCTCTCGTCATCTGCCAGACTCTAGGTAATTTACGTTTTTCAAGTAGTTGTTCTTTGATATCCTTGTCTAGATGTACAGTCCTACAATTCTGTGTAGACGGAGTTGCAGACCAAGCTGCCTTTTGTACAATTTTGTTGAATTGTTCTAGTGCGGCTTCAATGTCATGATTAGTTTTAAGAGGAATATGTGTCGAGAGGTGCTCGCTAATGTAACTACGGAAAATAGCCCAATCAGTTCTTTTGTTGTGAAGTCTTAGTTCTGGAGTTTTTAGGACGATATTCGAATGAATTTCTAACAGAAGAGAAGAGTGGTCAGACGAAAGATCTAACGACGACCGCAAGGTTAGATTATTTATGGGTACGTCCTTACAAATGCAAAAGTCAATGACATCTGGTGTTTTATTTAGATCTGTCGGCCAGTAAGTGGGTTCGCCAGTAGATAGGTGAAATAGGTTGGTTTCTTGTATCGTTTTTAATAGCTCTCGTCCTCTGGGTGTTATTAATCTTGAGCCCCAATGAGTATGCTTGGCGTTAAAGTCACCTGCTGCTACGAAATTGGGCCCGAGCGTTTTGAAATAATTTGCGAATTGGTGAATTTTAATTGGTTGATTAGGTGGACAGTATATAGAGGCAATAGTTATTTCACCATATACGGTATATCTCGTACTGATATAGCTGTTGATTGAAGATAATCTTCATTGTGATTGGTGAGAAATGAGTGGTCAATATTATTTTTTATGATTATTGCTGCGCCACCCGTTAGCTTTCCAAATAGCTATCTTTAGACTACCCATTATTTGGATGTATTAGCGACAAATGCAGTTAGGAGGTTGAGCATAGAGCTCATTTGTTCCATAACCGTTTTGAGCATTGATTTAAACTCAGGAAAATCGTTTTGCTGACTTGAGTTTACGTACTCCTGAGTGTTTATATTGCTAGATTTAACAACATTTGCATAAGTTTGGCTTGTTACATTCAATTTGGTGTTCTGTTGCCTTTCTGTATCAGTTGTTATTTTTCTACGTTGGGCTGGGAACGCTTTTTTCTGGAGTTCTTTGTAGACTGTGCACCCTTTATAGTTAGCCGGGTGATTACCTTCACAAAGAACACACCATACATTATTGCCGGGGATTTGCGAGGACAATCTGAGGATAAATGGTTTTCAGGGCTTAAATTAATTAAGCCTTGTTTGATTTCATCAAGAGGTATTGATGGATGTAGGCCCCTCAACACTACATTAAAGCTTCTATCTTGCTTTAGCTTGTAAGTATGAAATTCCGTCTGCTTTTCTGCAAGAGCTTTGGTAACTTTTGAGTAGACATCCGCTGTGTTGGGCTGTATTTTGACTTCATTATTACCTAAAATTTTGAGTACAAACTCATTTGGAGCCACATCATTTAGCAGTGCCCGTAATGGTTGAATATTACCAATACCCGCTACAAATACTGATGTTTCTCCTTGATTATCAGCGTCAGGGTTGTCGAGAACCTCAAAACGGTTAGGTGTTGCAAGCCAGTAGCTGTCAAGCTTTTTTTGTTTATTTTTTCGCTGTGCATTTATAGGACTAGAACGCCCACGTTTACCGTTTTAGGGTGAATTACTGTTACTCGCAACGTTCTTATGTACTGCGTTTATAATTGTTGCACTAGTACTGGTTTTCTTTTAACAGAAATTGGTATATTTTTTCAGCTTTAAGCTTTTCATTTTCTCTTAGCAGAGATTCGCAACCCTTTTCTAATGACTTGATCTTTTCTGTAAGATGTTTTATGCTGTCTTCAAGCTCATTAATCTTAAGGGATTGCATCGAGTTCGTAGGTTGATCATTTTCTATCGATTGTGATGAGTTATTATTTAGTTTAATTTTATTGGCTGTGGCAATTTCACTAGCTATTTTTGCTATATTTGCTTCGGTCATTGTTTTGTTTAGATGTTTGGTGGTTGGTTGGTTTTAATGTCATCTGAAGTAAGCATTACATAGCTGTTTAGGCCATTTTCACTGATTTGAAAGTGCCGCCGTGTAGCATTATTACTCATACACTTGTTTTACAATATAATTATAGTATGTTTTTATGATTATTTTTAATTATTTAAGTTTTAAATTTTTAAATAAAATTATTAAAGTTTATATACGTTTCATAAAGATAATTAAAAACTTGCACTGTGGCAACACCACATTTACAATTTATTACTTTCTTTAAGAAAGCATATGCTGTCTCTATCAGCTGTTTTTGACAAAACACAAATTTTTGTTTCTGTTTATTTTGCGAAATTACAATTGCAATTGCAATAAATAAATAAATAATTATAATGGTGATTAATAAATTAAATAAAATAAAAATTACAATATATCCAACTGAATTGTGTTGTGCAATGTTGTGTTTATATATGCACAAAAGCGCACTGGTATATTTAGTTTCTCAAACTTTTTTATATTACTTTTTAGCTTTAAATGTTGATCTGCTGTCTCTGTCAGCTATTTAAGCATTTAAGATTAAGTAATGCAAAAAAAAAAAAAATAAACAAAAAATCCGAAAAAGCGCGCGCTATTTTCAAATTAATATTTTATGCACTTTTCACTTTTGGTTTATACAAAAATATTTAATATAAATAGTTTTAAGACTGTGAATTTTAACTTTTTCGATGACCGACTTGAAAACACGTCCGCTCACTTTAAAAATTTCGACTGAAAAAAAGCCCTTGAAAATATGCCGAGAAATTTGTAGACAATTAACCTTTGTCAAAATGTTCCGGAACTCCAAACATTGTTTATGTGATTCAGTTGGTAGTTTTTCACCCCAATCCATCTTCAAATTTCATATTTCTTGAACAAAGATCTTTGCCATCACCACAACTGGTGACAAAAGCCCTAGTGGATCAAATAACCTTGCTAAATCTGAGGTTGCGTTGCGCTTCGTTGTGCTGCAAACTGGTTCCAATTTGACGCATAAACTATCAGATTTTGGACACCAGGATAATCCAAAAGTTTTTGTGGTGTCGTTATTGTTTTCTAAGTCTAAATTCATCGTGTGGAATTCATTGTAGTAAACTAGGATGATTTGCGCACCATTTTCGCAATTTAAAACCGCTTGCTGTCAGTATTTTGTTTAACTGACTCTGGGTTTCCAACAATGTTTTCAAACTATCTGCCTCGTGTAAACAATCATCTACATAGAAGTCTTCTTTGAGAGCAGATGCACCTAATGGATAATTTTGCACATTGTCATCAGCTAAAGCTTGCAAATATTTGGTTGCTAGATGCTAGATTTGGTTGCTATGTTACTGTGTTGAGTACAAAATATTTTATAGGTTGATTCGGTACATTTCTCCAAACGATAAGCTGACATTGGCTGTCTTCTGGATGTACAAGTATTTGTCGATACATCTTTTCAATGTCTGTAGTAAACACAAATCGAGGAAGTTGAAATCGTAACAGAATAGACAATAGTTCACTTCGAGCAATTGGTCCGATGTGTAGTAAGTCGTTGCGAGATTGTCCTGATGTTGTTTTGGATGATGCATCAAATACCACACGTAACTTTGTGGTGGTACTGTCAGGCTTAAGAACACAATGGTGTGGGATAAAATAATACGATGACATAATCCTTTCAATGTCTATTTCGGTCATGTGTCCCAATTTTTTATATTCATCTAAGAAATCTACATATTGTCGTTTGAGGTGACTATCCTTTTAAATTTAAAAAATCTATTTATTTTAAAAATCCATTTATAGCAATGTCTTTCTAATCTCCTAAAGCGAATCTATCATTTATAAAGGGAAGACGCACGATGAACCGTCCCGTAACATTCTGATATGTAGTTTGAGTGAATTGAGCTTCACATTGTTGCTCTGCTATTGAGAAGACTTTTGAGTGAGTATCAACTTCTTCAACCTTCCAAAGTTGTTCTATTGCATTTTGTAAACTATCTTCTGATGCTATCCCACATGTTGCAATTATTGCGTTAGCATTTTGAATTTTTACAGATACGATCCAGCCAAGCATAGTGTTCTGTAGAATTGGTAGTTCCCTTGAAAGTTGTGTTTGACCAGGACTTAGAAGTTGATGGTAAAATTCTACTCCAAGCAACATATCAACTTTGTCAGACTTATAGAATGTAGGATCTGCTAATTGGATGTTACTGGGCAGATACCAATCTGAAATTTGTAAATGCTGCGATGGTTGATTGTATAGAATTTTGGGTAAAACAAATGCTTCAAGTATTGTTTTGTAATTGGTCACTTTTGATTGTACAGAAACTATTGTACGACTTTTAGAATTCAATTTTCCGATTTCTACGCCTTCGATGCAAATTGAACTGGAGCTTACTTGCAGACCCAATCTGAATGCCAGTCGTTCAGTCACAATATTAATTTGTGAACCTGAATTCAGTACTGCTCTGCGCTCGACTGTTCTTCCATTAGAGTTAGATGCTAAAAGTTTTGCTGTTCCCAAAAGAACGAAACTGATCCTACCAGAATTGATGGATTACATAAGTGTTGTTTGGGCAAATGGCCTTGAAGTGTTTTCAACTAACTTCTGATTTGAGGATTGAACTAGTTGTCTATTTTGATGCAACAGTGTTTTATGTCTTCTTTGGCATATCGTGCATCCCCTGGAACATTGTAACGGCATATGACCAGGTTTCATGCAGTTTGAGCACAATTTATGACGTTTTAGTAAATCGTACTTCTGTTGTATGGATTTACGTTTGAAATTTTCAAATGAAAATAACTGATGGTTATTATTGCAAGTAATACAAATGTTTTGCAAGAGAGGAAGCGATCGGACGTGTATTAAATCGTGCGCGTAAAATTAAAAGCTCGAACGCATATTTGGTGTGCCGCGTAGTTAAAAGGTAGTCAAGCAAAAGGAATTAAAGAAAACAATAATTAAATTGCCGTGAATAAGAGTGTTGAATTTGGATATAAATAGACTAGTTCAATTAATTTAACTTTACAAGAGACTGCAAAAGGCCGGAAAGCTATTATTTCTTGTGTTTTGCGCAGGTATAAGCTACTCATCTCACTTACACTCTGGAAAGAGTCAGCTGCTAGATTCTTGTGGATTGTATGATCAGCTGCTTTTTGCTTTTCTTTCTTTTTGTGAAAAGCGCCATCTATGCCCCAAATTTTGTTTTTTTTTATTTATTTAACAATTGTCATGTAGGCCTGGGTAGGGGTAAACGAAGAGTTAATAAAACAACGTGAATATTAATGACGTTAACATACCTTGAACTTTATGTAGCTTCCATGGGTACTTCAATTATATTTTTTTTTTTTGGGTTGTAATTATATCGCCACCAATAGTATTCCTCTTGCTCATTAAAACAATTTCGGTTTATTAAATTCACAACGTGCATTGCGCGCACGCTATCAGTAAAAATAGAAGTAAACAAAAGTGGTAAACAGAGAAGGCGAAAAGTAAAGCTTTTACGTTCAAGTCTCGTTTGTTTAGTGCAATGTAGTTAAGGCGAACTTCACTAAAGCTTCAGTAAAGTTTGACTTAATGAGAGGGGATAGTATTGCCAAGTGCGAATAACCACTCGAAATATCTAAGACAAATTGTAGCTTTATTGAAAAGGAGAAAGAAAAAAGAAGCTTTATTAAAGGTTATTACTCTCAAGCCAAACAAGGCCAGCTAACGCAAATTAACGAAAGCAAGCTTTGGTAACAGGATCACTAACGTGATAGGAATTTATCAGTTAGGCGAATTGGATATAAAAGCCATAGCAGACACGGTGATGGTCTTTTTTTTCCTTTGCTGTTGGTTGATGAACTATCGAAATTTAAAAGTACTGATAAAAGTCAAGTTTGTTTCAAAACCTAAGATTAAAAGAAAAGAAGTGAATAAAAGTGCTAATAAAAGCCAAGTTTGTTTTAAAACCCAAGAGATAATAATTAAAAATTTCATTAAATTTGAAAAGTGCTAATAAAAGCCAAGTTTGTTTCAAAACCTAAGAGATAATAATTAAAACTTCATTAAATTTGAATCGTCTCTAATCATATTCTTAAAAAAGAAAAAAAAAAAGTGGATCAAATACATGAGTTTTATGCCAAATAATGAATAGTTTTTTTCTGAAATATGCTTAAATAATAGAGACATATGCAAATATATTATGACAAGTCAAGTGCAACAGAAGAATGCGTGTAAATTTTGAAATGATACATAAAACTCATGAGTGATCAACAATTATAACATAATAAATAAAAATTTGGGGTTCTTCTAAATGAAAACACCCAAAGAAGCCGAAATAAAGTGATAAAGCTGTTTTGTGGCGAAATATTAATACCTATATTGGGGATATAGCGGTTAGTGAAGTGATAAATAGTTAAACTAGAAGACATGACCATAAGGATATTGGACCGGTAGCAAAATTCACTTTTGTTGGAAGGATTCAACGGGATCATACACACCGTTAACGCACAACGGTGTACAGGTATTCCTGCACTAGAAAAAATCTATCTTATACTGAAACACACGTGTCTGCATTTATATTTTTTTTTTCATTTTTTTTATATATTTTTTTTTATTAGATATATTCCATTGTATATTTTTAATTTTCACTAACATATAATTGTGATGAATTAATTAAAGTTACGAATTAAATTTGGATGTTAGAAAGATTACCCTGAAAGTTGAATTGTATTAATTACTAAATATTGTCTTAAAAATTGCATATGGTATATGTATATAAAAAAAAAGGGAAAATTAAAATTAGGAATTAAATTTGGATGTTAAAAAGATTACCCTGAAAGTTGAATTGTATTAATTACTAAATATTGTCTTAAAAATTGCATATGGTATATGTATATAAAAAAAACAAAAAAAAATTAGGAATTAAATTTGGGTGTAAAAAAAAAAAGATTATCTCGAAAGTTGAATTATATTAATTACTAAATATTGTCTTAAAATTGCATACGATATATATACGAAAAAAAAAGAAGAAAATAAGAGTAACGAAAAAAAAGAGAGAAAAGAAAAAAAAAGATTTTTAAATTTTTTTATATTAAAGAGTCATAATTATATAAAAATACATATATATATATTTTTTTTATTATTCATAAGTTTCAGCTAGGTCAACAGCAGCGTGGGTGACGTCATTCTAGCAGCTGTAAGGTAAGACACGCGAACTTATGTAAAGAGAAATTGTTGCTTTATTTAAAAATTTAGTTAAAAGATTGGGTTGTGTATATTCCTTTTTCTCTCTTAATTGTTTTGTTTTTTTTTATTATGATATTTTTTAGTTAAGTTTAAGATTACTAAGATTATTATGGTCATGACTTTTGTTGAATAAAAAAAAAATAAAAGGAAAAAAAAATTTTTTTTTTGATGGAAAACTCAAATAATATGCAGGAGTAGGGTTTAGTTATTTGGCGGTTGTGGAAGTGCTAGGGAAAAATAGAATGCATATAAGTTGAAGAGTGACCGAGTGAATGTAGTGTGAAAGATGTTACAGACAAAACAGACGAGGACGTTTCAAGCTGCTGCAATATAGCGAATTCAATCAGGCAATGGCTATATTGTGATTGTGTTAGATGTAGGTTCCGCACAAAAATGGTTTTCTTCCACAGCAAACAGGTGACATGAATTTTTGTTGATATCCGCGATTGTTGCTGAGCGTGAGAAGAACCACCCCCAAAACCGGCGAGCATACCGGGCTGGCCACCATGTCACCGCTCCACGTTCACTGCAGTGTTACTTCGCCCACCGAAGACCGGACACAACAAATGGCGCCCAACGAGACACTAATACGAAGACAGGACCGAATTAAAAGACGTAATAAATAACAAAATAATAATATTATAGATATATCTATACAATCCATAATAATTTAATAGACATATACATATATATATAAAAGAGAGGAGGTTTTGAAAAGTTTTAAAATTGTTTTTAAAAAGATATTGTTTTTATATATATATATATTTGACAGAATAGACCGATGAACAGCGGACCAAAGATGGTTGCCTCAACAAGTGGCAATGTAGACAGTAGAGACAAAGAAAACTTGACAACCAAAAATTTCGTTAAATTTCACCTTAATCATAGTTTTTTTAAATTCTTAAAATAGATTCTATTTTCACAAACAAAGAAACGTGCACAAACCTTTAAGATTTTTTTTTTTATAATCTTTAATTAATAAGGATTACAACCGCGCCGCGTGCATGGCACCCCGGAGTTTTGGTTTTCTTTGTTTTTTTTGTTTGATTTTTGGCAGAGCGCAAATAATTTTTTTGTGCGAATTTTTTTTCTCAACAAAAGTTTTTTTATTATTTTTAAGATTTATGCGAACAATTAGTAATAGTGATACGCAAAAACAAATAATATCATTTTTATTGGAATCTTTATGCAAGATGAAAAAGATGTTTGTATTAAGATGAATGACTTAGGACTTGTAATTTCCAATGGAAAAGGAAGCCATGACCTACATCAAGAGGTGCAAACAACACATAGCTTGGCAGACAGACAAGATGACAGAGTTAGAGAATCGTTAGTAATTTGTTTGTGTTTTGTTTTTGTTTTTTTTTTGCTTGCAGCCACGATAAAATTTAGTAAAAGTTTATGTGAGGTAGTAGACATAAATATTTTTTTGTTTTTGTTTTAGAATTTAGTAACCTACGGCTATGACTTAAAACTCCTGAGGAGTTTAGTTTAAGGTAGTAGGTGAGTTTTTTTTATACACTAATGATTACGGCAAAAACTGAAAGTAAAACAGTTGTGTTTGCGGTAGTAAGTTTAATTGACGTAGATTTCTGCTACGACTTTAAAATTCCGGTGGGATTAAGTTTGAGGCAGGAGCCTTTCATCAAAATTATTGTTTTTTTTATTTTTTTTAACCTATAGCTATAATAGAGTATGAGAAGAGTTTTTGATTTGAGGTAATAGGTATGAAATATTGTGTGTGTTATTCAGTAACTAGAGTTTTTTTTCTGCTACAAACTAAATCTGAATAAGTATAGTGTGAGGCAGGGAAATTGAGTGAATGGTTGCTACAATAGAGATTCATGTAGAGTTCTGTTTGAGGTACTGTGTGGGTAAATATTAGAAAGCGGGTTTGAGTGAATGAAGTATGGGTCTGAACAAGTACGAATGAAACAGTTAATGCTACCAAACAATATAATTTTTCGGTAAGTTTGTGAGGCTTACTGTTAATTGGTATCACGCATACATTTTCTATTACGGATCGATATTAAATTGCGGCGTGATACTAATTGAATGTTTGAGATGTTGAGAGTAAGAGATGGACAGTTGGACGAACGTGACGACAACTTTGCACCTATATAACAATGAATTCTATTTTTCCCTAAAACAAGGCACTGAAAATCCGCCAATAAACGCTAAATTTAAATTATATTTATCTGTCTTATTTTTTTATTTTTATTGAACTTTTTTATTATTAAATTAATAATATTATAATTATATATAAAAAAAAAAAAATATGCAATCACCTTAGGTGAACATACAGGATTTGTTTTTTTTTTGTACCATTCTACAAGTAATAGACAAGTAAGTTTAATCGATAACAAAAAAATTGAAGTAAGAGTGGTAAATAGTTCCTATGGAGCCCAAACCAGCAGAAGAGTTAATAGACATGTTAGCAAGTAGTACCGGAACTAGGTCCAAAATACGAAAAGCTACGAAATCAGCACAAGTAACCGAGTTAGAAGCGGTACCTCTGCACAAGCACGTACTACTGCACAAGCACGTAGTAGTGAGCAGGCTCAGTTAATTAGTTCAGGTACAAATAGAAGGCCAAAAATAGGGAAAATAACCCAAACTGAAAAAGATTTTGGAAGCAATAGTATCCAAAGATCACTGAGTTTTGACAGCAAAATAGACCACTTATTGTTATTGGAAAGTAGTGAAATGAATCAGCCCGCTAATCTGAAAGGTAAAGGGGAAGATCAATATCGAGAAACCTCAACAGGTACAGATACAGGACGCAAGTCGGATAATGAAGAAATAATGAATTCAGTAGCTGTAATGATGAGGCAGCAACAAGAGTTTTTATCGAACTGCATGCAAGAGATGAAAATGGAAGTCATGACTCTAAACAACAGTCTACGAGAAGTGGAGCAAAGACCTAATCAGACCCCGCAAAACTACTTAGGTAACCAGGAGATCCAGCGGGAGCAGCACTCAGCATTTCCAATAGAAAGAAAGATGAGAAAAAGTGTGGATCTAGAACGGTGGCATTTGAAGTTCGACGGTTCGAATAAAGAAATGACAGTAGAAAGCTTTTTGTTCAGAGTCGAGAGAATGAAACAACAACACTCAGTTACAGATCAACAACTTCTCACGGACTTCCATTGTCTGTTGGCTGGTGGAGCACTAAAATGGTAGTGGCAACAACTAGAGTACCATGAAGATAACCGATGCTTCGATTATAGGCAATTCAAAAAGGAGCTATTGGCACAATTCAAATCTGCCGAAAGTGACTACGACATCATAAGGGAAATCATGGATCGGAAGCAACAACCCAACGAAAACTTTGAGCAGTATTACGCCGAGATACATAGCCTGACGTTCAAACTGAGAAAGAAAATTCCTGAAGTGGAGTTGGCAACAATTATAAAAAATAACGTTAAGCCAGGAATAGCTAGTCTACTATTCGCAGCGACATTTCTATCACTAGCAGAATTAAAAAAGGAATGTATTAGGGCTGAGAAAATGCTAAGGGAAAACAGCTCCGAGGTAGGCAGATTAGCGAGATCGTAAATGAAGAAGTAGATAACGCTGAAGTAGACAAACATTCACAATGGGACTTAGAAGCGTTCAGTTCTCCACAGAACAGACAAGGCGAAAATCAACAGCGTGGGCATTTACAACAGAGAAATAAGGTGCAAAACACGCTTGGAGGTAGAATTGAAACCCGTCACCACGAGACAACAATCACGAGCAACCATGATGCAAGTACCATGTGTCCATCTCCATTCCACTTAAATTTGTGTTATTCTTGTGGAATGCCATGTGATTTTTACATCATAAATGATAATATGGAATAAGGGTCAAGGTGTAGGTCATCTTTCCATGACATGTCATGCTTTTTATGTAAAGAAAGCTATTCCTATTACAGATATAACAAGAGAGAGGGAAACGGCTGGAGGACAGTGGCAACCGGGGCCCAGTGTCGCCAGAGGCAAGACCCGGAACGACGGTACAAATCATAAAGCGAAACCAATCCTTGTTAGCAAATCCAGTGGCAAAGATCAATAAACCTAAACCAAAATCTTTACACCAACGGAAGATAGAGTATGAAATAATAAAGAAAAAAATTTTTAATGAAGAATTAATGAAATCGAGAAATAATAAGAGAAACTTCAGGAAAATACAAATTTTGCGAAGAAGACAGCAATTAGTAAAGGCATGTTTGAGGAAGG